CTACTTTTTCATCGTTATCAATAAGACTGTCAACAAAAGCCCTTCATAACTTGAACTGTGCCTGCCACAACGGGCATAAATAGGGTATTAATTTTTGGTCAGGTCATATATAGAGTAGCAAAAATCGCAGATTTTGGTCATAAATAGTGTCAGGGTTTTGGGAAGTGGGCCGCACACCCCCGCCCAACTTTTCTGGGAGTACCGCCCCGCCCCCCGGGGAGACTGCAGTAGAACTAGCTCTAAGCCGCCCAGTGAACTGGGGTGCAGGGCTCTAGCCTAACAGCGCATATTTGATTCTGGAATATCGGTTTATTCAGAGCTAACTAAAAAAAAATTACTATGCGAAAATAATTACTGATGGTGAAGACAATACAGTATAATGATTTTTCTCTGTGCGTGAGAGGAGGAATTCATCAAAACGTGCATTAAGAATTATCTCACCTTGCCGGGGAGCCGGGTAGGAATCGTTGCGTTGAGCTACTTTATATCGTTGAATGAACGTGTCGTCTTTCTTCCTCTAGAGCAACAATTAACTTTCAATAATTCGCCTCCACTCACTCATATATGACAAGAAAAGTTGTTGTAAGTAAGTTCAAACGTTGTTGGTTAAGCTGTGAAAGTTTGAAATTCCCAAAGAATATTGTTGCTGATTTAGAAAAAACACTAGCTGACTGGTAGTCGCTTAGACATGGTCATTCCCAAACAATCCCGTAAGTGCTTCCGCTCCCGAGGCTCTCTTCCAAACAAAAAGAGCGACATCGAAAGCGTTATTAGTTTACGAAGAGCAATGACCCACAATGATTAGGGAAAAACAGAATGCTAAAAAAACAAACTTTTGTCGTGCACACGATACGAAAAAACATCCTGCTGAAAACTCGGTTCTCGTGACGCGCCAGAAATGACTCTAAACAAGAAAGCCAAGAACGACACAAGCGAGGCATAGCTTGTGCCAGGTGTTCGGTGTGTACGTAAATATCGCCGCAATATGCTACACAGAGCGGCGCAACGACAAGGTACAAAGGAGAGACGTACCGCTATTCCTTTTCATGCAACCCAGTACGAGAATTTTTCTCATGTACATGAGCGAATAAGTATGGCTGTTCGCGTGGACACTGCAAGCCATCACTTGTTATTAGTAACAGGATGCTGTGATCGGTCGCGGTAAAAGTCTTTGAAAAGCCGTTTCACAGGCGCACAGTTAGGAAGATAGACGCCCCGAGTTATGGGCTCTATTTTTGAAATAAGTCTCTCAAAGCACAGTTCTTTAATTTAACTTTCCAACTATCACAATGTGAAAGTAGGATTTATCCCCACTCCTAAATACAACAGAGTTAAAACCTGCGCGTCACAGTCGATCCTGAAAAGGACTGTTATCGATGACAACGACTGACGAGTCGACAACCTGAGCGGAAGTCATCATCAGAGTCATGTGAAAGAGTGTTTTTGCCAATGGAAAAAAATATATAGATTTAGGCCAGCCTAAAAGCGTAGCTCCTGGGCCGGGTTGTTCAGAGCCCGACTAAGCTAACGTTAACCCAGGAAAAGGTAGAATTTTGATTTGAGTTTTGTAACTTTGCGGTGAGGTTTTCTGTGTATTATTTGGCCTTCTGTTTCGAGTTTTAATAATCACAATATACACAAAACAAAGCAGCGAAAAACATTTGTATAGAGAATAAAGTTATAATTCGGTTAACTTTTAATCCTGGGTTAGCGTTAACCGGCTTCCGAACAACCCGGCCCCGTTTTCAACAAGTTAACCTGACGTGAGCTCGCGATCCAATCGAAAACCAGCACTTGGTCAGCGTTCAACTTCAAAATACACGTGACCTCGATGAGCCCTAAACTTGAGCTCGCAATATGGTCACGTGATACTGGTCAGCGGATACCTTGTTTTGACAGGTGTCAATTGATCATAACATGGATGTCCAAAACCAAAGAGGTACACGGTAAACCAAGGCTGCAGGTCTCTGCCAGCCTATTATTTGGAGTATGGCCGCCATGTTGCGCGACTCCAACGTCGTCGTCGTGCGTACGCGCCCAAGAGCAATACCGCTAGCCATGATAACCATGAGAAAATCAATTCATGGGTTTCCTTTTCTTTCCCATAGGAGTATGGGGCTCCGCTTTGCGGCCCTTCGGGCCGCCGGAGCTCCGTTAAAAAAAACAACTACCGACACAAAACATCAAACAATTTCATTACTGTAGGTAAAATGCGTCGTTTGCAAATTATGTGCTTACATGGACAAAAAGGCTAAATTCTGTAACATTCAGATAATAACGTTCGCAAAGGGCTAGGCTTGGACTTACCCAAGAAAAATACCCTTATTTCATGCATGTACAAGACAACGCATTAACTTCATGTAAGCAACACGAAACAATAACGAGTTTTTCCCATTATCATGGATTATAAAGTTCTAGGTTTAAAATGCCATCCATAAAATATATACATCTCTAAACGAAAACTATATGCAATGGTAGTAAACCTTCTCACAGACTGGGGACGGTCTAACGGCAGCACGTTTTCGTAGTCTGCCTTTATTTTCRCCGCTTGTGGTGTTAAGGAATGGATGATAAGGAAATACGAAAGGAAGAACAAATTACATACTACTTCCCAGGTAAAAGCGTTGAAAGAAGCAGTGGTAGTAGTTCTCCAGAAACCGAGAAGCCGCCTGCAAAATCCGTGAAATTACGAAACCTAACATAGCGGATTTGGCAGTTCTGGAAAGTCTTAAACAACATCCAAGAAAACACGAACAAACTGCTTGAAGAACATGAAGTTATTCGTGAACAGTACAACGATCTTCAGATGTCACTGGAGTTCCATATTACTAAAATGGAGAAATTAGCGACGGAGAAAAAAGAGCTCAAGACTGAAATCAATTCCCTTAAGAAATCCTTAAGCCAAACTATCGAAGAACGAGACCAGTTGTACGTCAACTTGGGGATGGCGATTGATCAAATCGATGATCTCGAACAGTACACCCGCAAGCACAATTTGGAAATACACGGTACACCTGCAGAGCAAACAGGCGAAAACCTTGCCGAGCAACTGTTATTACACTTGGAAAAGCGCTCCGGCAATGTTCCGATTCGAGATGACGACATCGATATTTGTCACAGATTGTCTACAGGCAGGAACCGAAGCAAACCCAGGCCGACTATTGTCAGATTCAAATCATATCGTGCAAGGAAGGAGCTATATGCAGCTCGCAAAAGTCTCAAGAATCAAAACTTGAACGGAACTTTTCAAGGCGCTGGTATCGTATACGCCAACGAAAATCTGACAAGAATGCGGCGCGAACTCTTTGCTTAAGTCTGGAGGCGCAAGAAGGCGGAGCAGTGGCACAGTGCTTGGACAATAGACGGTAAAATCCTTATGAAAATATCATTAGCTGACCAACCAGTTAGAATTTACAGCCAAGAGGATTTAGATAGGTTTTAAATTTATTCTCAGTTTCTCTCTTCGTTAATGGTTCAATCTCGCTGGTTATTCCATGGTTATTGCATCCATTTATGAAGAAAGTTGCGCGACTTTTTCCTGCTTTGTTTACTTTTTCTTATTGTTCTTTGCCTTAATTAGAAAACCTGCGATCGGGCTTTCTTCTTCTTTTTCTTGAGTGTCTCTTTTTTGTTGTTGGTTGGCTTGTTTTTGGCGAAGAACGCTTGATAGCAGGTTATCAATGAACTCAAAAATCTGAATTTCTAACTCACGCGCGGGG